CGGGGCACCTCTACTAGACATGTTGAGTATCTTCAGGACGCGTGTGCCCCTAGCAAAACACAAGTTTGCTTTATAATATTATGTTTATTTAGACCAGAAGGGACGATAACCAGTATGGGAACCCATCAGGAAGCCATCTTTCCCTCTGCTACAATTTCCCAATGGTTGAACAAGCGAAGAGTTGGCGGTGCAGATATATAATGAAGCTCGCTCATCTCTATTCATGATGATCGCACCATTAGCGCAGAAGCTACCATTCGCGATAAGAGATGGAAATGAGATATTCAAAGAGAATTTTCCCGCAGCTTAATTTCTGGCTATTTTTTCCCCCCTTTTAATAAGGGATAATAATGATATATTTATAATAAAGTTGAACTCAAGCATATCGCATATAATACCCCGCTCGAAAGCGCTCGGTGGTGAAGTCTCAATTCCGACACGGGAATTAATTACACATTCCCTTTTAGAAAAGTGAAATTAATTGAAAACTAGAATTTTCTAATTAGAGGGAGCCGTCCTTGGCTAAATGAGTCAGGTTATCTACAAAGCTAATTTATAAGTCGTGAGCATAATGTCTGGGACTTGTAATATGTGGCTCGGCTAACCTTCAGAAGTCTCAGAACGATGGCGAGATCTTCCCGGTGGCTAACTTTATCACGCTGCGTTGGGTAAGGGATGAAATAATTGATATCCCAGCTCTGTTGGGGGTGCAGGGATAGGAGTTAACGCGTTCATTTCTTTATTCTTTAAATCAGTCAACTTGACAACTTAACTTTGAAATAGTCTCGGAAAGTTAGAAACTTTTTTTTGGCTCCCCTGGACTCTCCTAATTTGCAAGTTGACCTAGCAGACCATGTAGGTGTCACAATACCGAGCATGGGTGTCCCAACACCACGTGCAGGTACCTATACAGGTGAATATGTGACCACACTGCAGATACCACAACAATCTTTGTGAATAATAGTTTAATAGATGTAACAAACCACATTAACACAGGCAATCCCACCACCACCTGCAAGAAACAAGAGCCACACTATATACAAACGGCAAGGGCTAGGAGCCACAGATCGGGAGACCTCAGGTGTAAGGGTCAGGAGTCAGGATCCAAGGCAGAAACAGGATACTGGAGGGTCAGATGTCATGGTCCAAGGCAGAAACAGGATACTGGAGGGTCAGATGTCATGGTCCAAGGCAGAAACAGGATACTGGAGGGTCAGATGTCATGGTCCAAGGCAGAAACAGGATACCGGTTACTGGAAAAAGGCGACGGTGATAACCTGAGAAAGGTTGTCAGTGATAACTAAGAAAACAGCTTTGGCTTGTGTTCAACTTTACATAGGATCTGGTAGAATGCTAAAGCAGTGCTAACACTCAAAATTTATTTTTTTTTAGGTTTTGAAGAACCTTTATGGCTTAGGCAAAGGAAGAACCTTTATGAATTAGGCAGAGGAAGAACCTTTATGAATTAGGCAGAGGAAGAACCTTTATGAATTAGGCAGAGGAAGAACCTTTTATGGCTTAGTCAAAGGGGCAAAGGAAGAACCTTTATGAATTAGGCAAAGGAAGAACCTGTATGAATTAGGCAAAGGAAGAACCTTTATGAATTAGGCATAGGGGCAGAGGAAGAACCTTTATGAATTAGGCAGAGGAAGAACCTTTATGAATTAGGCATCTCAGGTGTAAGGGTCAGGAGTCAGGATCCAAGGCAGAAACAGGATACTGGAGGGTCAGATGTCATGGTCCAAGGCAGAAACAGGATACTGGAGGGTCAGATGTCATGGTCCAAGGCAGAAACAGGATACTGGAGGGTCAGATGTCATGGTCCAAGGCAGAAACAGGATACCGGTTACTGGAAAAAGGCGACGGTGATAACCTGAGAAAGGTTGTCAGTGATAACTAAGAAAACAGCTTTGGCTTGTGTTCAACTTTACATAGGATCTGGTAGAATGCTAAAGCAGTGCTAACACTCAAAATTTATTTTTTTTTAGGTTTTGAAGAACCTTTATGGCTTAGGCAAAGGAAGAACCTTTATGAATTAGGCAGAGGAAGAACCTTTATGAATTAGGCAGAGGAAGAACCTTTATGGCTTAGGCAAAGGGGCAAAGGAAGAACCTTTATGAATTAGGCAAAGGAAGAACCTTTATGGATTAGGCAAAGGAATAACCTGTATGAATTAGGCAAAGGAATAACCTGTATGAATTAGGCAAAGGAAGAACCTTTATGAATTAGGCAAAGGAAGAACAAACTTCATAAGGGCTCAGATATTGTATGTAATTAAGAATATTAAAAATGGTCGCCTGGGTTTATTGTTACAGGATAATAAATGGAATGTCTACGTGAACCTTTGTGTTTTGAGGCCTCCTGACTATAGACAATATCTGAGCCCTGGTAAAGGCAGAGGGGTTTTCAGGCCCCCAAAACGGGTCGGGTGTTTTATGTTTTTTTTTTTTCTGAGCAAACACTGTTATTAAAAGAATTTGGACCCTTTTCTTTTTTTTTATACAAAGTTTTTATTTCTTGTGTTGCTGTTTTACTCCAGCTGTTTAATGCATCAAGATCACCTTAATTCACCATGCTGTAGTGATCGATGAGAGCTGAAAATAGCAATCGTTAAGGGAGATGGGCGAGCTTAGTGGACCCAGCCTACTGATCACAGAGCTTCACAAATTGGTTCATCTCTTTAGAGCAGTCCCTGCCCCCACCCACCAGACTTGTTTTCAGGAGCTAATTTCTCTATACCGGTTTCTAAGTGCCCGTCCATTTGGTTCAGCATCATGGACAGCCAAATCACCAGCCAGTGCCGGAGTACCAAGAAAAAGGCCACATAACTCCAGGACTTCACTAGAGTCTCCCACATCCTCTGGAACTCTTTACCCCAACCTGTCCATCTATCTCCCACCCTGACTGCCTTTAGGTGATCCCTTAAGACTCATCTCTTCAGGGAACCTCAACCCAAACACCCAACTATCACATTCTCAAGCAATGCATCCCCACAGAGCTACCTCCTCATGTATCACTTCCCCCTCCCTTTAAGATTGTAAGCCCTCAGGAGCAGGGCCCCCCTTACCGTCTTGTCTTGTATTGTGATTGTAATGTCTTCCTTATATTGTAAAGCGCTGCACAAACTGTTGGCGCTATAGAAATCCTGAATAGTAATAATAATAATAGTAACTGTGAGAGGACACACAAAGTACTTGCGGACCTCTCATTTTTTGTCTTGGTGGCAATTGTTTCCAGATCAGGAATTGGGGGCAACATCTACCCAATGGGCACAAAGCTGTAATAGGTTCTCTTTTCATAACAAAGTGCAAGGGGAGATGCACCCCCTGTCCCAGAGACCTCTATATCCAGGATGTGGCACAGCAGTGAAAACCCAACCCAACCCTTCCCAGTTCTGTCCAAATCAAGCAAGCCGCATTTTTGTCCAGGGCCTGCGGCTTTCCGAGCAAGGCGTTCCCAGTTCTGTCCATCAGGGGGTTGAACTGTACACCTCCCTCATCATACAAGACATCAGTGTTCCCCACAAGGCCTCCATGCTGCTTCCTGCAATCCAGGGTGTGGAACTCAGTAAAATAAATGAATTGTTTGCAAAGTTTGGCTGGCCTTTCACTCTGAAAGTCAAATAAGCGAGGCAGGCAGTGGCGGATTTGCATTCCCTCACCTAACGCGCAGATTAGCAAGCGGAGAAAAAGGCAGGGACCCTCTTGACAAATGCCTGCAAAGCTGCTCCGTATAATGTGAAGTTAATTTGATTGTGAGGCCTGCTCTCCATGGTGCTGAAATTGATGTCACCTCATCTCCATTACAAAAGTTATTGAAATTTCAGGACTGTGTGGCGATTGGCGATAACGACTTCACATCAGTAATGCGTTTCTCAAATGTGTTAACTGGTGTGATGAGAAATAAGCCATTACACAATGCCGTGGTTGGGTTTGCCGCGTATGACAGTTGACTGATGCCGAGGAAAAATGTACGACTGTATCATCGCCGAGCTGATGGGTTTTCAGTGCTGGGAGAACTCGCTCCCAGAATTGTTCTATTTACTCAGCAAGAATGCACACAGCAGATTATTCCTCGCCATAATACAGACTTTATAGATAATTAATGGATCTGCTTATGAAGCCTTGTTCAATAGAAGCTATGGTGTGTTTTCAGTGAGTGATGTGACGTTCACATTTTACCTTGTAATATATTTTCATATGCAGTGTGATTAGCATCCCTGCTTAAAGAGACACGGTGCCCTTGTCAGTTCATGGCAAAGTGACAGGGTCTGTGTAAATGGCACCCCCTGATCCCCCCCCTGATTCCCCCTCTCCCCCCTCCACTTATACCTTTGGGCATTAGTTTGACACCAGTTTGAGATGCTTCTGAAATAATTTCCAATTCATTGACATGGACATTTTATCTGCAGATCACCTCCTTTTGACCTAAAGGTGGGTTAGACTTGTACAGGGAATAAAGTATTTAAGGAGAGGAGAGTTATAGAGAAGGAGCAGAGTCCTTCAGCAGAGCAGAGTATTTCAGGAGAGGAGAGTTATAGAGGAAGGAGCAGAGTCCTCCAGCAGAGCAGAGTATTTCAGGAGAGGAGAGTTATATAGAGGAAGGAGCAGAGTCCTCCAGCAGAGCAGAGTATTTCAGGAGAGGAGAGTCATAGAGGAAGGAGCAGAGTCTTCCAGCAGAGCAGAGTATTTCAGGAGAGGAGAATTATAGAGGAAGGAGCAGAGTCCTCCAGCAGAGCAGAATATTTCAGGAGAGGAGAGTTATAGAGGAAGGAGCAGAGTCCTCCAGCAGAGCAGAGTATTTCAGGAATAGGAGAGTTATAGAGGAAGGAGCAGAGTCCTCCAGCAGAGCAGAGTATTTCAGGAGAGAAGAGTTATGTAGATGAAGGAGCGACTCTCCACACAGAATATTTCTGACCATGAGTTATTATGTGTAAGCATCATGTTGCTGCAGAAAATCCAGTTTTAAAATGTACAATTATTTGTATCTATATCTTACAGCTGCAGAGAAGAATAAGTGAAAGGACGGTCTCCCTAAACACAATGGTCCCATTACCCCGTAGCGCCTACTGGCACCATATAACACGGCAGCACAGCACCGGCCAACTATACAGTCTTCAAGGTAAGAGTACATTTCATCATCCATTGATACTCTCCAGACTGAAGTCGTGGAGGACACGCTTCCATTTATCTTTCTAATGGTCTTAGTTTGGAATCAATGAGCTGCTATTACTGTCCAGGACACGCTGCAGGCACAATAAATTCAAAGACCACTTGAAGGAATCTGTCACATACATGTCAGTCTATAAACAGTGGTCACCTTCATGTCCAAGTGATCAGCAGTGCCAGAAAACAGAAACAGCTGAAGTTTTCTGCAGATCTCAAGTTTAGCTTGGTGGCAACTGCTTGTATCCCCCAATCCCAAGCTTTCCTAATGGTCCTTCAATGTGGTGTACCAATAGGGAGGTTGGAGGAGTGAGGGCACCAAACTTGAGGTTTACTCATAACGTTAGCTTCCTAGATTTTAGGGTCTGCTAGCTAGTTCAACATATGTTTTGTTATACTGAAGCTCTCCTCTGCCTGTGCAGTTTCTCAATGTATTCTAAGCTACAATTTTCAGAGTCTGGAACTTTGATTTTTTTCTTCTACTGTGAGTTTATGAACAATTTCAATGGCCTTTTTACACTGCTTCTGCATGGAGCCCTATTGTCTTGTAACATAATTCTGTAGCCAGATACAGGGCTGGAAATAAGAAGAACTCCATAGTCTGTGTCCCGTCAGGGAGATTTCCCTTCATTTTTTGTCCCAGGCACAAAGCTGGAAGTAAGAGGAGATCTACTGAAAGCTAAAGGAAATCCCTAGACCTTTGCCATCAGAACAGCCAGGTGTCCCAATTGGAAGATTTTCCTTTTTGTATTTTGTATTTCCAATTACTTTCATTACGAGAGATAAGGGTCACTAGAACAAATAAAGGGTAATTCTAGCCAGCAAGGGCACAGACAGCAATAAAAACCTGACCTGACCTAACTGTTTGCCTGTTCTGACATGTAGAACCAGAATAGTAACAACGGAGACAACCAGACAAGTATCATTTTCAGTAGCATGTAATTCTAAAGTACAGGTCCTCTTTATGCGTGCGTTCCTTTCTTTTCCATGTGTTGCAGTGCGTTTTAGCCCCTTTGGTCTGCAGTCTTTCCGACATGTGTCTTCTGTATACCCTTTAGTTTCCAGGGGAAGGGTTCTTCCTGCCTTTGTGTTTAGCCACATCATCTGCTTCATGTAAAACGTTCTAAGTGCAGATTTTACAGGGGGTCCTGTTCATTTGTATGCATGGTGCACATGTGGGGAAACGGCATCAGAGCTGCATCAAACAAATTTAAAAAAAAAGACACAACGTGTGAAAACACCTTGATGAGAGCTGTGCCAGTGAACACAACACTACAGGATTCTCATTTCAGTTCAGGCTCTGGAAAGCCTCTGCTGCTCTGCGGTGTGCGGAGGGGCCCTAAATCTCATCCCAATAGAATTAATTCATTTTTAACTGCAGCTTTGAATCAATTTTATGCTCCTTAAAGTTGAATGTTCCCTTGATTTTTATGTAATTGTACCACCGGGGAGTGCAATAATTAGTCCTAATGTGTTTTCTGGCACAGCTGAACTTCAACACTTGACCAGGCACAGCTCCTGATAGAGGAAATATTGCAAGCAAATTCTAGTAAACATCAAACATTCTTTATTGAAGCTGCTGACCACTGTTGGCCAGTGGACATTGTATGCTATGATCCCCATGGCCACATGATTCTGCGATTCATTGGGGACTTTGTGTAGAATATTTATTTTCAAGCACGTATATATTAATGCATTAATAATAATGATAGTAATAATAATAATAATAATAATGTTGTAACTTTAACCTTTTTTTAAGAACTAATGTTGGACAATTACACAGAGACTTGGTAGTCAAGATATAGAATATGTGGTGGGGTTACACTGACATTTAGGACAGACAGAGGGGTGCCAGTTAAATTAGGTGGGTATGTAGAACGGATGGAGTTGTTTCCGGAGTCAGTAGACAGTTATCCAGAACAGATGAAGGTGTATCAATGTAAAGAGATGGTGTCATGGAGGTAGTGGACCATCGGAGTCACTGGGTGAGTGCAGGCCCTAAAGAAGGCCGTGCAGGATCTAACAAACCACTTGGTTCCCACAACGGATGATGGGCTTGTTGTGGATGGCTCCCAGGTTGCGGCCCTTAGTTTCACAACAGCTGAAAGCAAGCAAAAATGGAGTTTGGTACAAAATCAGCAGGCAATGTCATGGTCCAACAAACAAAATGTCAGGGCAGGTGAATAACCAAGATCATGGAGAAACAGACAAAAGGTCAGGTCTGGTAGATAACATGGAACGTTGAGGGTCGTAAACGGGTTTCAGAACTGCAACAGAGATTATGGGTTTTGAAGCCTGTAGAATAGACTAAGGGATACTGGTTTAAGTAGATGGATATGTAGAACAGATGGCGGTTTACTAGTCTATGTAGACAGATATGTAGACTAGATGAAGGTTTACTACTCAAAGTAGAAGGATATGTAGAAGAGACAGAGGTGTACAGGTATAAGTAGATGAATATGTAGACTAGATGAAGGTGTACTGCTTGAAGTAGAAGGATTTGTAGAAGAGACAAAGGTGTACAGGTCTTAGTAGATGTATATATAGAACAGACAGAGGTGTAGCAGTCTTAGAACATGGATATGTAGAACAGATGGAGGTGTACTGGTCTAAGTAGATGGATATGTAGAACATACAGAGGTATACTGATCTTAGATGGTTATGTAGAACAGATGGAGGTGTGCCAGTCTAAGTAGATGGATATGTAGAACATACAGAGGTATACTGATCTTAGATGGTTATGTAGAACAGATGGAGGTGTGCCAGTCTAAGTAGATGGATTTGTAGAAGAGGCGGAGGTGTGCCAGTCTACATAGATGGATATGTAGAAGAGACAGAGATACTGCTCTTATATGGTTATGTAGATCAGATGTAGGTGTGCCAGTCTAAGTAGATGGATATGTAGAAGAGGCGGAGGTGTGCCAGTCTACATAGATGGATATGTAGAAGAGACAGAGATACTGCTCTTATATGGTTATGTAGATCAGATGTAGGTGTGCCAGTCTAAGTAGATGGATATGTAGATCAGATGGAGTTGTATCGGTCTAAGTAGACAGGGCCGGATTTACTCTCTCTGCTGACCCAAGGCCAGGTCCTCAATGTGCCCCCCTACCTGCCAACCCCCCCCCCCCCCATGGAGAATGGCAGACCTGCAGGCTGCATACAAGTGGCAGCTTCCCCGCTACACATTTAGTTCTGCTTGCCCAAAGCAGAGCTAAATGTAGAAAACAACTACCCGCCCGTTGCCCGGAACTACATCCTGGGCATCGGGAGATAGGAATTCCACACCCCTGCTGCCCCGGGCCTTGGTTGGCCTTGTGGGAAATCCAGTCGTGGATGGAGGTGTACCAGTCTAAGTAGATGGATATGTAGAAGAGACGGAGGTGTATCGGTCTAAGTAGAAGGATATGTAGATCAGATGGAGGTGTACCAGTCTAAATAGAAGGATATGTAGAACATACAGAGGTATACTGATCTTAGATGGTTATGTAGAACAGATGGAGGTGTGCCAGTCTAAGTAGATGGATATGTAGAAGAGGCGGAGGTGTGCCAGTCTACATAGATGGATATGTAGAAGAGACAGAGATACTGCTCTTATATGGTTATGTAGATCAGATGTAGGTGTGCCAGTCTAAGTAGATGGATATGTAGATCAGATGGAGTTGTATCGGTCTAAGTTATATAATTGTTGTATATTAATCTTGGTCTTGTATAGTGTACATGTGAAACCTTCTTTAGTATGTTGGTGTAGTGGAGCTCCAATAAAGTATTCACAAGCCATCATTAGTATGTATGTAGGTCTATTAATTACCTTGGTTTAATAAAAGGTAAATCAGTTTACATATTACGAATCCTGCAGTACATCTACATTGAAATCAGGTACCTTAATTCAATTAAAGGAGAAATAAAAAATGGAAAATTATATTTGCCATAAATATATTACAAAATTATCTGCATCAATCTCAATTACGCGGAGTAAGCTGCGGACACGTTATTGATTCCCCACATATTTGCCCTCATTTAGCGGAATACGTTGTTTGAATATCTAATGGCCTCCTAGAAAGAGAACGGATCGGGCTTCCAACTTCCCAACATGAATCACTTGTATCACTTGTATCTATGATGTTTATTTTAAATGCTTTTTTCCCCTTCTCGTTAATGGCGGGCGGTTTATTTAGCTCAGGAGCGACATCTAGTGTTGCATCTCCCTTTCCTTTCTTCATTCTTTTGGAATGAACACGGATAGTGTGATTTTATTTAAATTGTATATTTTTATAGCACCGAATCATTTATTTGGAGCTTTATAGGGAACAGTGAGTCATGCACATCAATTCCTTTCCATTCCTTACATATTAATATCCCTACAAAGGTGAAATATATATTCATCCAGGAATATTACCTTGAAAGGATGGCCGGTGCTAATTAATTCAAGCTCCAGGCAAACAGATACATACATACTGTATATGGCAATTGTTTCAGTAGCAAAATAATTTGTATTTGTTCATCCCATCTTGAGTTTTGCACAGCTCTGCCACACAGCGCAGCCCTGTCACACAGCGCAGCCCTGCCACACAGAGCAGCCCTGCCACACAGCGCAGCCCTGTCACACAGCCCTGTCACACAGCATAGCCTGGTCACACAGCGGAGCCCTGCCACACAGCACAGCCCTGTCACACATCGCAGCCCTGTCTGGCAAGGCAGTAGACCTGATTTTTATGTCCCTCCTCCAGCCTATAATGAGGCAGTTGCCTCAGGTGGTATCTCATTGCAGAGCCGCTGGGTGGTGGGGTTGGTTTTAGGGCAGTGCCCACAGCATCCCAGGTTGCTAAAAGCTCTTAGCAACCTGTGATGCTCTGTGCGTGTGGCTTCCTGCCCAGCTTAGTGACGTTACCAGTTGCCTGGCAACCCGTGATGTCAGTGAGCTGGGCTGGACACCTGACAGAGCCACACATGCTGCCCCCCCATGACCTTTTCCTAGCAGCAACATCCGCCCCCATTCCCCCCAAAACGGCATTACTTCAGGCCAGGGCAGCCATCAGGGGGGTACGGCCGATACTCATGTAAGGGGCCCGGGCAGCCTGGGGGGCCCGCCCGGGTCCCTTACATGACTATCGGCCGACGGTGAAGGGCAAGGAGGCGGAGGCCTGGCCCTAGCAGCGCAGGGCCCCAGCATGCTTTGAGACAAGCTAGGGCCCCATCAGTGACGCTGCTCATCTGATGTTGGACTGGCCGGAAGTGACGTCACTTCTGGCCGGTCCGGCGGCAGACGAGGCCATGTGTGCAGGTAAGAGGAGCATGGAAGGAAGGAAGGAAAGGAGGGAGGGGAGGGATCCAGCCCTGACCAGCCCACCTGAGACCCCTTCAGAGCCCACCATAGACAGTCTCAGATGTGCTGTGCAGCATCTAAGGTGGGCTCTGCAGGGTCACTCTCAGGTGGGTCCTGTGTCCAGCGCATCACTAAGCCTTGCGTCCAGCACGTCACTAAGCCCTGCGTCCAGCGTGTCACTAAGCCCTGCGTGGGGTAGGCGGGGCGGCCTAAAGCCGTGTAAGCGGCCCCAAAATTTCTGCTGGCTGCCCTGCTTCAGGCGGTGATTAACCTAGTAATGGCACACCGCTTACTAGCACACGACAGGGTGCCTCCATAACACCCTGCAAGGGAAAGGAGCCACCTTATAACAGGATATCAGGGCCACTGCTCAGGGGACTTACTTTTACATTTTGACTTTGGTATCACATGAAGAGTTTAGGACTTAGTACGCCTTTTTGTGCACATAAAACCAAAATCACATTAAATGGTATTCCCATCACTCATGCTCTGGGATACTTGTAAAAACTTTGTAACAGAACACAACATAATAATATCCATTATTTTATATGTAGGTGACTAACAAAAATGAAGGAACCTTTTGAAATATTTTAGTCCTGATAATAAAATGGAAACAATGCATAAAACGGACGCAGTGTATATTGTTCATAATACAATGTATCACCTGTCACTGGGAAATCTTACCTTTCTGTTCTCTCTTTCTGTCCCTCTCTGTCTTCCCGCTTCCTTCGTCTCCGCCAAGACCTAACATCACAGAAGCTTCATAGAACAGACACGTTTCCCACCTACAGGTCCGAGCACTGATGAAGACTCCATCGGACTCGTTGAACTAGAAAAGTTTTTTTGCTTTTGAACTGAAAGTCCAGTTTCTTTCCCCTTACGGACGGCTAGACGGTCGTAGAACATTACCGGCGAGCTGGAATATTTATACACTCTTTGATGCAACTTTTTTTTAAACCTTCATGAAGAATGCGCTTTTTGCCATTCGAGGAAAAAAAAAAAAATGTTTCGCCACGTTTGACTACATGGACTGGAGAAAGACATACCTCGTGTTTATACCGTATGTCGTCATCGCAAGTGTGCGTTTGCGTGTGTGAGCTGGACAACCTGCGGCCCTCCGAGCAGGAAAGGAGCGTTGGCCAACTAGAGTTGGAGATCCGTCGGTGGCCATAACCTGCTTTGGGTGTTTGTCTTGCTGTAGTTTGTTGTGATTTTTTTTTTGTTTTGCGCCATTCTCAAATGTTATAAGGAGTCCTAAACTTTATTGGATTTTATTTTTCCTTTTTATTCCCCCCCGCATGTGCACTGGGGTTAGTTTTCGGCTCTTCAAATTTTAAAATAGAAAATTCTACCTGTGATGCAAAATGTTCCTATAATGTATCTGACGTTTTTTTTTTTAATGATAACTACAGCAAAACCATCAGAAAACAACATTACCAATTATTTTATTTCTAATTTAGGGATTACCAGCAGTCAGATTTACCTGGCATTACCAGCAGGGGGGTCCCGAGGCCGGGTGTCACCTGACTCATGACGTCACCACGCGCGGTCATCTAATTGATGCCTGCTGGCAGAGAGAGAGGAGGGGATGTTCGCCCGGCGGGATGAGGTATGCCGCCGGGTCCCCTCCTCTCTCCTGACACTGTCGGGCTCCTGGTGCATGACCGAGTGCCCGACTTTTTAGAGGGGGTGACACCAAAATGACTGTCAGTCATTTTGGTGTCACCCCCCCCAATGGTGTCACCCCGGTGCTGGCCGCACCCCCCCTTGTGATGCCACTGATTACCAGGAGACTTCTTACATGTTGAGGCAGATTAAAAAAAAACTGCAACACATCTCACTGAGGGGGAATTTATCAAAACGGGAGCAGACAAAATCTGCAGCAGATTTGCACTGCAGCCAATCAGCTTCGCTATCTCATTTTCAAATCCAACCTGAGCAAACTGAAGGGAGATGCCTGCGGGGGGAAACAGCTCCAGATTCTGTCTTCTCCAGTTTTGGTAAATTGCCCCCCAATGAGTCTGTGAAGGTTCTCATTCACCCATGTCATGGTGTATCTGTAAAAATCAATCAAAGCAACTGGACTTGTTGTATTTTTTTTCTCGAAGACGTTTCCCTGGTCACCTGACTAGCTTCCTCAATTCTGGATTGAGAAAGCTCATCAGATGACCAGCGAAACGTCTTCAAGAAAAAAATACAACAAGTCCAGTTGCTTTGATTGCTTTTTTACAGACATAACCGAATGAATGACATATTTTTAAGAACAGAGAAATAAAGGAAAGGCTGCAGAGACAGTTCAGCAACTCTATCCTCCTGCGTGAGTAGTCACCGGGCTATATTGTTTCCTAACCTTCAGAGGAGTCTACAGTCTTAATGTTCCCGCCATTGTCATACAGACACACAAGCACACACCAGAGTGTGAATCTAATTTGTGTTAGATACCAAAAATCTAGAATGCTAATGTAATTTAGGTTAGATACCAACATCCTATGTTTTTCAATTTTGGGGGGGGGGGAACCAGAGCATCTGCAAGATACCCTTGAAAACAGCAATACTTCAGAAGGTTCTACCGCACTTTGTGGGGAGTCATTTCAAAAATATATTAGGTTGCACTATCCAAAAGATGAACTTGCATTCAATGTGTAAAATAGAAGGAGTGATACAAATTATATTGTACTTAGATAATGTTAAAATGGCCCTTCCACATATTAGACTTCAAGTTGTCCTCTGTTTCAAAAAGATCCATCATGCCGTATCTGCACACTTTCACTCACTGTGCCTTGTTCTCCAGGGACCCTCCCTTTTATCAAGACAAGCCTGGTCAATAAAATCTGCAATTGCTACACTTGTTACATTTCTGAACGTTATTGATAAACTTCTGTAACTACAACAAACTCGCGCGCCCCGCTATCTGCTTGAGGATTCCAGATCTTTCAAGCTTAGCTCTGTCTATGGACGCCATGGAACTTTGGCCTTCAGTTGTCCAAGTCCTTTTAAAATAAGTTGTACATTGTTCTGTAGGTGATCCCTTAGCGGTCGTGCTTGTGAAGAATTGAAGGGAAATTCAAATCCAGACTAAAAAATAAATACATTTTGTTAACGTTATTTTTTTTTATCGCCGCTTCCGCGCTCCATTTGTTATATGTTAAAATGGTACCATCGTTCCCATGTCCATGATAGTCCATGACACAGATTTTTTTACTACCCAACATATTTAAAAAATTTTTTTTATTAATAATTAAATTTAATTAAATGTAAATGTTTAATTAATTCATAAACTCACATTAGACTAACAGACATGAAATCATTTTGATGTGACTTTATTCAGACTGTTACTTTTATATATTAATGCCACCAACACCTATCTTTTATACGTCATATAAAGTAACCGTTGACATGGGACTCAACGTCTTCTCATATTATACCTGTTTGCTAAAGCTGCATTCTCAGCAGGTGACATCTTCAGCTTCCCCTCAAATGCATTTTCTCCAATCAAAGTTCACTTTAATTCATATATGATAACAATAAAATGAAGTTGTGTGGTTTTTTATAGCCTTGGTTCTCAACTGGTGGGTCGTGACCAGCGAGTCGCCGCGTGCCTTCCACTTTTCTAGGTGAGAGTCTCCTCAGCTTCCCCTTAGAGCAGCACTGTCAGTTGTCGCACAGAGCAGCCATTCAAAATATGCTGCCCGGTGCCGAGTGTCAGATTGAGGTGGGGTGGGCTGGGGCTATGGCCCTGAGGGAGCTCCATCCATACGTGCATCACTTACAGCTCCCTCTCATGTCCTGTAGAGGTGCCTGGACTGGAGTGACATCACACTCTGGCTCCCGGCACCTCTACAGGGCATGCAAGGGAGCTGTACAAGCAATGCACATATGGATGGAGCTCTGTCACAGCACAACAGCCCGAAATGGACCCCAGGCTGAGGATCCACTCCGGTTCTCGTAAGGTAGGGAGACTGGGTGGACCTTAACAAAAAACAAAACATTTTTGGAGTGTGTATGTGTGTGAGAATGTCAGTGAATGTGTGAGATTGTGTGTGTGGTTGTGTATGTATGTCAGTGTTTTTAAGGGCCCATTCACACTAGTTCAGTGTGTTACCCTGATAGCATTAATGCACTGTACCACGCAATTGTACCTACCGTGCTTTCTGGTGTGGGAGTTGTTGCCATTCATTTGAATGGTACCCCAAGCGCACTTCCCACCCACGGTTCGTACGCCCAAACACGCGGCACCCTAATGCCGTGAGTGCCATTGCAATGCGACTCAGGTGGCGGCTTAATGACCGAGGACAAATGTGGGTCCTAAGGTTACACAGGTTGAGAACCACTGCTCTATACGATACCCGGGTGAAATACCGAAAAGGCTTTACCTTAATGTTCTGGTTGATTTTCCCCTCAGGATGAAGTACAAATGTTTTTTTTGAGGATTTTTGGCTGACGTAGGGAGTTTTGAAAGTAAATCTAATCTTCCTTTTCACTTCTTTGACCCAACCTGAAACAAATGAGAATGACCCAAGGCTGAAAATTATTTAGAATTTCTCCTTAAAAAAATCATATTTTGTCGTCTTTTTACCCCGGGTCATTTATTTTGTTTTATGTTGTCTGAAACATTAACTTCTGTGATGTAGATCACTGCAAGTTCTTAAGATTTATTGAAATACATACGCTCATTATACTATTTTAATAAACTTAAGTTCTGTAAACCTTTGAGTGATTTTCTTTTTAAACATTGCCATTGTCTCTAGTTGTGGTGGCCGGATTCGCGTTATTTGTTTGTTTCCTTTATTTTTTACCTGGGTGCCTACACTTACACCTTCATTGTATCCATGGAGGGAGCCATGATTGTCATCCCAAGACAAGGCTACAAAAGTGGCTTCTTCTTTTGATATCCACTACATGACAAAGAAGATAAGGTTGTTAAAGACATCAGTTCACTACAATGGGGGGATTTGTAGTTTGCAGAGGATAGCTTGGAAAGAAGATAAGGATGTTAAAGACTTCAGTACAGTACAATGGGGGGATTTGTAGTTTGCAGAGGATAGCTTGGAAAGAAGATAAGGTTGTTAAAAACGTCAGTTCAGTACAATGGGGGGATTTGTAGTTTGCAGAGGATAGCTTGGAAAGAAGATAAAGTTGTTAAAGATATCAGTTCAGTACAGTGGGGGGATTTGTAGTTTGCAGAGGATAGTTTGGAAAGAAGATAAGGTTGTTAAAGACTTCATTTCAGTACAATGGGGGGATTTGTAGTTTGCAGAGGATAGCTTGGAAAGAAGATAAAGTTGTTAAAGATATCAGTTCAGTACAGTGGGGGGATTTGTAGTTTGCAGAGGATAGTTTGGAAAGAAGATAAGGTTGTTAAAGACTTCAGTTCAGTACAATGGGGGGATTTGTAGTTTGCAGAGGATAGCTTGGAAAGAAGATAAGGTTGTTAAAGTCTTCAGTTCAGTACAATGGGGGAATTTGTAGTTTGCAGAGGATAGCTTGGAAAGAAGATAAGGTTGTTAAAGTCTTCAGTTCAGTACAATGGGGGAATTTGTAGTTTGCAGAGGATAGCTTGGAAAGAAGATAAAGTTGTTAAAGATATCAGTTCAGTACAGTGGGGGATGTCATGTACCTTGATATGAGCCTGAAGTGACGAGGAAGGCCTCCCCTTGCCGCTCTCGTCTGAGCACCACTGTAGATGAGACAGCAGCTGAACAGACAGAGAGGGGCACGAGTGCCTTTGGCTGATATGAGTGCTTGATATACCGGAGGTGATGGTGCTGATGGCTGGATGCCGGAGGTAGCTGGTGGCTGATAGCAGATCAGGCAGTGCTGATGTGAGAAGTGGAAGCCTGTTCAGGAACAAGCCGGATTGGTAACGTGCGGTCAGCATGGTACAGAAGCAGGAGCGATGTCAGGAGCAGGCCGGGTCATACACTTGCGAGCAGAATGGTACCAAATCAGAAGACGGAGGGGAGGTCAGAAGACAAGCCGAGGTCACAAGGCAGGCACGAAGCAGGCAGAGTCAGGAATCAAGTTGGGTCAGACAGGTATCAAAACAGGATGAGGAATGCAGACTATAGCTGAAGATCTCTCAGCAAGTTGCAGATGCAGGAGCCACGTATGCATCGGTTTTGCGCATGCACATTGGCTCGCGCAGCGATCCGGTGCAGAGGCTGTACTGTGGGTA